TTCAATAGGGTATGCCATAGGGTATGCTTTAGGGTATCCAATAGAGTATCCAATAAGATATTCAATAGGGTATGCTGTAGGGAATACAACAGGATATTTAATAGGGTATGCTGTAGGGTATCCAATAGAGTATCCAACGGGATATTCAATAGGGTATGCTATAGGGCATCCCAATGGATATTCAATCGGGTATGCCATAGGGTATGCTGTAGGGTATCCAACAGAGTATCCAACGGGATATTCAATAGGGTATGCCAGAGGGTATGCCGTAGGGTATCCAACAGGGCATGCACCAGAAATAGCCTTTCTCCATCGGCACCGAGGCGTTTCCAAGCGCGGGGACGCGGCGGGAGCTGGCTCTGGCTACGGGCCGGCGTGCCCTGCCTCGGGGGCTCTGCGTCGAGATGTGCATTTCGTGGCGGTGTGGGGTTGGGTTGGGTTGGTGGTGGTGTGTGGTTTTTTTTTTTTTTATTTTTTATTAAAAGAAGGTATCAGCCTTCTGTTTGATGTGCTGTTGGCCGCGGTTGCTAAGGGGAGCAGTGTACAATTACAGCCCCAGTGATGTCCACTCTAATAATACCCTTGGCCCTGCATAGCTCAGATGCAGACACAGCTCTGCTATAAAGAGCACGGCCGTTTCCACAGAGGAACACGCCAACTTATGTTACACGCGAAGGGTTTGGGGCACGTTGCTTAACACACATCCCCCTCCCCCTGAAAAAACCCCCCCAAAAAAAAGCAACTCAGCCTGGACGTGCCAGTGAGTGAAACTATGACCAGCAAAAACCTCTTTCAGGAGACTTCCTCTCAATTTATTAATTAAGAAGGAAGTTCTAGAAGGGGGACGGATGTGTCCACCAAGATGTTCTTGCTCCATCCTCCCAAGCTCCCTGGGATCGTTTCAGCCAGGTCCACCCCAAGGGCTTGCACAGCCCAAACTAGCTCCTTGTACAAAACTCAATGAGCAGAAAATCAAACCCAATTAACCCCCACCCAGTGCCAAGTCCCCGTGTGGCACCATCTCCCTGAGCTTGACCAGTCACCCACCCCAGGACTCCCCTTTCCGCATCTCCCTTCCGCATCCCAGAGCCTTGGCCAAGATTTGGGACCAAAACAAAGAACTAGGGATAAATTCAAACCCAAATTCTCCCCAACAGATCCCTTTAGAGCCTGAAATGGTGCAACCCTGGCCGGGGGGATGCTCTGCAGAGGAAGATGCTGGCAGGGAGGGGGGTGACCTGATGGCCTTCTCGCGCCGCGGCGCCGGCATCTGTTTTGGGATCGAAACAAGTCCCTTTAGTTAAGCTGCAAAGAGGTGCACCCCGAGTGTGAGCACCTTGTCAAAGAGCTGAAAATATAAGAGGAGCCAGGTTAAAAGGAGAGGTTTTTGCCTATTCCACAGGAAAAATCCTTGCTGGATATAGGGATGCTGTCTATAGGTACTGGGATGCTGGTGGGGGGTGGCTCAAGGGGTTAATAGATTCATTTAGGAGATCCCCCGGTGGGGCTGAGCCGTTGCCATCGCAGTCCCGAGAGAAAGGGACAAACAAGCCCCTACAAAACAGGAGCATCTGCCGGGAGCAGATGGGGGGTGAGGGGGGGGGGTCCAGCCCCAGGCGCCAGCAGAGCAAGGGGAGGGAAGGGGGGGGGGGATCACGTTGATCCCGATTTATCACACCCCGGCAGAGTAATTCCCCAGCTCGCCGGTGGCCGGGGATCAGATTAGTCTGAAAGGTGCTAGAGAGACATAAATCCAGCTCTGGAGCAAGCATTTTATTATTTTTTTTTCTTTTTAATTAATGGTAAATATTACAAGGTGATCTTAAAGGTCCCTTCCAACCTAGATAATTCTATGTTTCTATCATTCTAAATTATCTAAAAATGGCTGATGGAAAATATCTGACGGTGGAGGGGCCGGGACTGGAAGTGAGGAATGTTGTATCATCAACCATATATATCAATATATCTTATTGATATATGAATACATGAGATGAAATCTGTATTATTCCCAAAAAATCCATATATTATCCAATAGAGCACACTCCTATTGATAATATATCATCAAGCAACACCATCAACCCCGTTATTTCACATCAAGACAACCACGATGAGTATTTTGGGCTTCAAACCCAGGTCTTTCTCCAGTCAGGGGTATCAAGCCTGAACCTATCACCAAAATTCCCAGTTTACGGCTCGACCAAAGCATTTGTGGGTGTCTATTTTTGTCAGTTAGGTTGACGGTTGGACAAGATGATCTTTAAGGTCCCTTCCAACCTAGAAGATTCTGTGATTCTGTGATTCCATGAATCTGCATGAATGCATCCCATGATTTTGGCTGGAAAAAGAAACCGCGCTTGGAGACAGTCAAAATCCTCTTCTATCAGAAAGGAAACGTTAAATTATTTAATTTCACACAGCACTTTGCTTTTGACCTGCAGTGATCTGTCACCTTTTGTCCCCTCGAGACATTTTTAATAGATGTGCAATTTGGGGCTGAGCAAATCCCTTTGGCATATTTTTTTCTACCCTTGAACTCGGTCTCACCCGCACCCCCCTGCTCAGTCTTTGCATTTCGTTTCTTCCCGGCTTTCCATGATGGACATCGTGGTCCCATCACGCTGAGACTGGTTGCGTGTTCCTGGAAAGCACTTTGGGACTCTCTGGAGATATGAGATGTATTATTTATCTTTCATTCATGCTACGAAGAGCTGAATGTGAAGCCAGTTATCATTGCACGTGATGCTGCAGTAGAAGTAGGTCTACTGGGTCTTGTTTGGAGGGGTGGAAATGCTGGGACAGGAGAAGAAAACAAGTTGGAAGAGTATTCCCTAACCCAGAAGGACTTCCATCACCCTCAGTTTTTGGATAACACCCTGCTGCTCCATGGCAATTGCTTCTGGACTTTCTTTTGGATTTCTTAGCATCGCTCAGCCAAATGGGAGAAGATACAAGAATGACCTGGCATGGAAAAAAGCGGGACGCACGGAGGGTTTAGAGCTCCCTCCACTCCCTTGCTGCTAAATCTGGGACTGATACTGATGGCAATTAATCTCCTCCTGCTTTATAATACCTTTGGAAATAAAGCAATAGGGAAAAAAATCACTGCCTAGGACACACAATGGGCAGATGTGTCTGCTGCCCAAGGACTGGTGGACGAGAAGCTCAACATGAGCTGGCATCGTGTGTTGGCAGCCCAGAAAGCCAACCCCATCCTGGGCTGCATCCCCAGCAGCGTGGCCAGCAGGGCCAGGGGGGGATTCTGCCCCTCTGCTCCACTCTGGGGAGACCCCCCTGCAGGGCTGCCTCCAGCTCTGGGGCCACCAACAGCAGAAGGACGTGGACCTGATGGAGAGGGGCCAGAGGAGGCCACAAAGATGCTCCAAGGGCTGGAGCTCCTCTGCTGTGAGGACAGGCTGAGAGAGTTGGGGGGGTTCAGCCTGGAGAAGAGAAGGCTCCGGGGAGACCTTAGAGCCCCTTCCAGTCCCTCAAGGGGCTCCAGGAGAGATGGGGAGGGACTCTGGATCAGGGAGGGGAGCCATGGGACGAGGGGGAAAGGTTTAAACTGAAAGAGGGGAGATTAAGATGAGATGTGGGGAAGAACTTCTTTGGTGTGAGGGTGGTGAGAGCCTGGCCCAGGTTGCCCCAAGAAGCTGTGGCTGCCCCATCGCTGGAGGGGTTCAAAACCAGGTTGGATGGGGCTTGGAGCCAACTGGTCTGGTGGGAGGTGTCCCTGCCTGTAGTAGAGGGATGGTAAAAGATGATCTTCATGGTCCCTTCCAACCTGATTTTATCACTGATTTTGTGATACAGTGACTTTGCAGGGGAGTGGAGAAGGAGGGGGCACAGGGAGAGGTGCTGGGTTTGATCCAAGCCCAGAGCAATGAGAGAAGCAAAACCGGACCAGTGACTTCGCAAAATTATCTTATGGTATGTTAAATATTGATTTACGTTATTTTATTTTTCCCTAATTTATATTATTTAGTTTTCCCTGCTTGCTCTGTCGCCTGAAAGCCAACCCAGCCCACACAAGGTACCGACAGCCAGACCCAGCATTCAAGGGATGACCCCCAACAAGACCAAGAAGGGCAAGAAGACCATGTCAAAACCTGGAGTGACCTTGTGCACTAAACATGTGGAGAACAGAGAAATGAAAGGAGAGCTTTGGACCTGCCTCAGATGACACGTGTGCGTGAAGGAACGGCCAAATGGAAACGCATATTAAATTAAGGATGGAAATTCATGGTTTCAGCCTTGGATGTCCCATTACCAGAGAAGCAGAAAGATGGAGGTCCATGTGACACCCTCCCCCGAAAGCAACCCTCTTTTTGATGGTGGCACTACAGTAAAACTCACCCCCCCCAGCAGATCGAGGGCAGTTGAGGACAGTCCTGTTTCCCAATCATCCATCGTTAGCATGGACCATTTAACAGAGCCACTGCTTTTTTCTCCAACCCCTCAATCTGCTGTTGCTGACAGTTTTGGAGCAGAACAATCAACCAGTGCTGAGTAATTACCCGGAATAATTAGCAAATACAGCAATTATTTAAGTTTGGGTTGCAATCAGAAACCAGGAGCGAGCCCTTCAACCAGGTGAAGCCACAACCAAGAACCTACTCAGGGACCATGACTTGACCTGACGGAGACAGACTTCAGCCAAAAAGACCTTCCGCTGTAAGACCCTCCATGTCCACTTCTCTTCATGCCAGGGGGATGCTGCCACAAGCAAGCCACCCATTTCACAGATGGGCCCTGGTGTGAGATACCATAATTCCACATCCAGCTCAAGAAATGGGACTGAAGAGCAACTTGACAATGTCCCCAGTGCCACGTTATCTATGGGAACCACTAAAGATTTCACAGACAGAATTAGCAGGTACATTTCTGTTGTCCTCTCACCAACCAAAATGAATTTGGTAACAGTTCAGCTCCTGACCAAATGCATGGTAAGATCAGGTGGGGTGAAGCCGCCGGCATCTACCCAACTAATTTTATCTCATTACCTGCAACATGTTGAGGAGCAGACTCCGGAATTTGGTTCCTTCCACCATGAAAAGGGCCATTTTATCACAGAGCTTGGCTGCCGTGGAAGCAAAGCTGCGGTCCGTCACCGCTTTCTGGTAAATGGTTTTGACTATCTCCCCCAGCATCTCCTCAGAGTTGGTAGAGTTCTGGGCTTCCTCCATAAAGGTGGTGAGCTTGGAGTCAACGTCACTGCTGTTGTTCCTCATGCTGTTGAGGATTTCAATTAATTTGTCCATTTTGTTCTTTTCAGGATTGGTGGTTTCCACCGTGACTTCGTCCTGGTCCGTGAAAAGGGAAAGACAAGGCATCTGTTACACAAGGAGAAAACAGATATATCAGCCCTTGTCCTTCTGCAAACAGCAAAGGGGGAAAGGGATTGGGGAGACATATAAACAGAGAGAGAAAAATCAAAGCATCATTTAAAGCATTGAAAACCACAAGTGAATGAGTCCCGCCCCAGAAATGTTCTCTTTCTCCATTTCCCACAGCACTTAATCCCAGAGTCCTCCCCCTCGGCTCAAGAAGAAGATGTCCTTGATGGTCCTCAGCCAGGATGCCAAGGTCAGACCACTCTCGACTGCCTTTGGCATCTTGGATGGGGTTCTGTCTGCACCATGGTGACAACGGCCATTTTTTGGTCTCTATTTTGAAAGTGCTCTGATGTTTGCAAAAATATCTACTTTTTAAATACATATTTAACGTTCTAAATTGAGATGGAAGGTGTCACGTGATCCCGGCATTAGAAAAACTCTTCACTTTGCCATCTCTTGACTGTGACACTTCTCGCTTCGCTTCACTGCCCTAGAATTTATTGCTTCTTTTCAATATTTAATTATGCATTTGTCCCTTTCCCCCAGCATACAGCACACAACCTGCTTATTATGGTCTGCTCCCTTCCCTTCTCCTCCTTCATTCTTAAAATGTTCTATACAATACAAACCTGTAACAATTTTTTTGGACGTCCCCAACGCCAACAAGCAGTTGGAATTGTCCAAAACACCCATCAAGAGACCGGTTGCATTGACTACACCCACCCAAGAGTGGGTGCTTATGTGTTGTGTTTCTTATAAGACTATAAATTCACAGGGCAGGCGTTAAAATGAATACTCTGAAAGTCTCTGCGATACTCCCATTGCTTTAAAGAACATAAAAATAACTTACAAAATCTCTTCCTCCCCCTCACGCCACATACATAAATAGTAAATGCACATGCATCCAAAGGTATACATTTCTAACATGCCCTCCATTGGAATTGTATATGTTCAGGTTATTTTTGCTACGTATTTTGGAAATCTCATTGGAGATACCCCCACGGGTGCATTTTCCAGTCAGACAAAAGAATCTCCAGAGAAAGAATCCGAGTTTCACAGGGGGCAAATGCAGATATCATCTCCGAATTCCTCACAAATCTGCGGCTGAATATTGTTTCCAAAAAGGATTTCTCCTCCGTCACTTGCATGCAATAGTTTTGTTATTGTTGGGTTGTTGGAAGGAAGGGGGAGAGATAAGGGCATTTCGATTCATTGCTGAGATAAATGGATATCAACTTTTAAGTAGCTGACTCCGACTATTCAGCGCTCAAAAGCCAAAGCTCTACAATTGTGGAGACAATTTGCCTTTTTTAGACTTCCTTGAAAAGCAGATGAGCTCTGCAGACCAGGAGGAAGTCAGTTTGGATCCCCCATTGGAGAAGCAGCACCCACGTTGCAGCTCATGTGTCCACCAGCCTTCCCCAAGGGCCTTTTTATGGGTAAGGGGGAGAGTTCCCAGTCCTTCTTGGAGAAGGACATGGACCTGTTGGAACGGGTCCAGTGGAGGGCTACAAAAATGATCAGAGAGCTGGAACACCTCTCCTATGAAGACGGGCTGAGAGAGTTGGGGTCGTTCAGCCTGGAGAAGAGAAGGCTCCAGGAAGCCATTTAGATGAGATCTCAGGAAGAACTTCTTTGGTGTGAGGGTGGTGAGAGCCTGGCCCAGGTTGCCCAGAGAAGTTGTGAATGCCCCATACCTGGAGAGGTTCAAGGCCAGATAGAATAGGACTTTGACCAACCTGGTGTGGTGGGAGGTGTCCCTGCCCATGACAGAGGGGTTGGAACTTGATGATCTTTAAGGTCCTTTCCAATTCTAACCATTCTATCATTCTAGCAAGTGCTAGAACTCAAGCAAGTAGCAACCTCAACCAAGAAGTCAAGCTAAGAACCTTAGTGCTGTGTTGATAAAAGGCCTCCTGAGGAAGCCCAAAGACACTTCAAGAGAAGTGTTGACACTGGGAAACTAAGGTAAGTTGGGGGCCTTCATGGAAAGCTCCCTTGAGCCCACCCAACCCTTTGTATGGAGAATGGCCAACAGTCAGACTCTTGGAAAAAAATAAGAAATAATACCTTTTCTTTTAGCCTCCTCCGCAGCCTGTCTTTGGAAGACTGAAGCAAATTGATCTTGGGTCTTTCCCCAATGCGCTCGTGAATACTGTCTTTCCTCTTGGTCTCTGGCTCCTGGATGTACTGCTGAGACTGTTTCTCCACAGCCTCCGGGCCTCGGTGTGTCTCCACGGGAATATGCACCGTGCAGACAGAGGTGTCCTCGATTTTCAAATTCTCAGTCTCTTTGGCGTTTCTGTGCGTTTCTTTGTCGTTAGGTGAGTGTTTCTGGTTGTGGTGCCATCTCCGGTTCTGGCTGTAGCCGTGGTGGCCCGTCCTGCCTGAGGAGTGAGGGGCCTGGCCTCCTTGGTAGAGTTTCTGGTGGTCCCTGTTGTGTTTGGTGCCACCTTGCTGATGATCTGCGTGCTGTTGAGGCTTGTTCCCACCGGGAAGTCTCTGCTGTCTCCTGGAAAGTCAAAGGAAGTTGTTAGTACACCCTTTCCTGCACAGTCCTGTTTGGTCAACACATCTTCTGTCCCACCAAAGACCCTGACCCTTGGTGGGTGGGCTCTGTGGGTCTCCCCACCACAAAAGGGGAGCCCATTTCTTGGTATCTAACACAACCTAGTACCAAATCATGTCTCAACCTCTTTTGATAACAGGCATATGCCAGCTGCAAATTATCATGGAGGGTTAGACAACGTGTCTTTGATTCCCAGGGATATCTCTCCCAGGTTTCTGTGTTGCTTCCACATTAAACCAGGGAAGACATGGCTAGTCCAAGCAATGGGAAGTCAGGCAGGCGAGAAATACCAGGAGATACTTTTTCCTGAAGATCTAAAGAACTCCTGATATACCTGGCCTGCAGCACTGCTTGCTCCTCTTACTTGTCACCTCTGCTGTACCAACACGTCATTGGTTTGCAGAGCATCATTTTAAGTGGATTGGGAATTTCTAAGAGAACAAAAAAAAGCTAAAAAGCAAATTACCAAGTAAAAGAGGTGCCCACACCAAATGGTTTTGTTTAGCTTTTCTTTATGCATGTCCTTCGTCATTGCTACACTGGAGGAAGAGAAGTACATGGATGAAGAAGCTGAGGACCACATGTGGCTCTGGCAGCCTGGGGAGCCAAGACCATCACCTCTGGATAGGAGGCTGGGTGAATATGGCTCCAAATGGGTAACATGGAAATTCAACAGGCACAAAGAGGAGGAATTGCCCACAAATGTTTTGCTCAAGAGGCTACAGCGGCTCAAAAGGGGTGAGCAAGCCCCTGTGTAACCTGTAGCTGAGATCCAGATCCCCAAAAAACAATAGTTGAATGGAAGAAATCATAGACTGGTTTGGGTTGGAAGGGATCTGAAAGACAATCCAGTTCCAACCCCCTGCCCTGGGCAGGGACACCTCCCACCAGACCAGATTGCTCCAAGCCCCCTCCAACCTGGCCTTGAACACCTCCAGGGATGGGGCAGCCACAGCTTCTCTGGGCAACCTGGGCCAGGGCCTCACCACCCTCACACCAAAGAAGTTCTTCCCCAGATCTCATCTCAATCTCCCCTCTTCCAGTTTGAAGCCATTTCCCCTCACCCTATGGCTCCATTCCCAGATCAAGAGTCCCTCCCCATCTCTCCTGGAGCCCCTTGAGGGACTGGAAGGGGCTCTAAGGTCTCCCCAGAGCCTTCTCCTCCCATCATTGAGGATGCAATTAAGATAGAGCTGGAGATGCATCCATGGAGAAGGCCTCCATTAAGATGGTGATGGAGATGAGTTGCCTTCACCCGGGTGGGCACAGGGTTACCCCTCACCGTGGTGGCAGCTCCCTGCCTGTTTGCTGCCTCTTTAACTCTCAGTAATGGCTCTGAGACCACAGGAGATGCTTTAACTCCCGGCTCCTTCCAAGGCTGAAACAGGGAAACAACCATAAGCTCTGCGGTGACCACACCGCTCTGCACCCACCGTAATTCCCCCGCTCAGCCTCACCCCTTACCCCAAACCCCCTCCTCCATTTGGATAAAGAGCAGGGTTTATTTAAAATACCAATTAATTTTATTTTCATCATCTCCACCACTCGGCCGCAGCACGTTGGGCCGAAGGAAGGGGCCATTCACAAATACATTTCAATGGTCAGCGGTTAAATGCTCTCCAGCCCCGCCTGCCAAAGCCATCTGCCCATCAAATCTGTGTTCCTTGGCATCCCCAGGAGTTCAAAAACCTATTTTCCGAGGCCAACTGGCTCTTCACCATCAAGAAGGAGGGCTCGTGTTTGGCCAACGCGGGACGAAGAGCCTTGTTCGTGGTGGCAAGTGGAAGGAATTCGCGTTTAGTCTCAGACCACTGGATCCGGTTTTCTGAGATGTTCAACATGTTTTTTTTTTTTTTTTTTATTATTATTCTTTTTTACAAGCTGAGTGGCAGGGAATGAAAAAAAAAAATAATATAATAATATAAGGAGACGGGGGGAAGCTTTCCTGTTTGCCGGAGCTTACGAGCATTTTATGAGGACAGATTCTCCACATCAAGTTTTCCTGGCATTTCTTTGTTTCCTCTCAGTAACGCAATCCCACAAACCGCTTTGTGAAGGGGCATGTCAAAATAAAAGCTAGTGAAAAACTTTACCTAAGACAAAACCCTCACGCGCTTCAGGGTTTTTTTTGCCAAAATAATTCAGCCTTTGCTTTCTGTGATTTTTCCTCTTTTCTCCATCACTTGGATTTAACCGTTTGGGTGCAATTTAAGCAGGATGCTACTGTATTTAAAGTCGCACAGGATGCACAGAAATGGGAAAAGCTTCAAAAAAACACAGCTTTAATTTAAGCAGGGGTAAGGCAAACCGCCTGGAAATGAGCTGGGAACCAACCTCCTGCAAGAAACGCAAGCAGGGACCTTTTATTTTTTTCCTAAAGACATAATGATGTTCTAAACCAAACTCTTTTCTGTTTGAAAGAATAATAATAACAATAAAAAAAAAGGTTGAAGATTAAAAAAAAAAAATCCAATGTGGAATGTGTAAAATGGTTGGGTTTGGGGGGTTTTTGTAATAAGAGGGGGGAGAGGAAGGGCAGCTGTGTCCCCAGAAAGGCCAGAGAAAAGGTGACATCCCCACGGCGAGGGGTCGAGCAAACACAGACCGAAGCTCTGGAAGACACTGCCCACAGGATGGAAAACACCAGAGTTAAACAAGCGAGGGAAAAATAAAAAAAAATAATAAAAAAAAATAATTGCAAAGAAATAAAAGGCAAAGGAAGGAGAATGGCAAACAAGAAGCAGCGTCCGTGACTTGGCAGCAGGCAGGGGTCTAGAGGAGCATCCAGCATTCAGGCAAGGACTTGTTGTGGGCTTTTATCTTCCCAACACCCCAGCGAAGGAGAGAAGCCAAGAAGAAATAGGACTCTGCGGCGAAGAAGAGCCAAAGCCGGGAGAACGGAGCCCAGATCTTAAAAGTTTTTTTTTTCACTGCATCACAAAGCCGGGGAGATTGAGATGTCCTCTCCCTGAGGAGAAGGACTTCGGGGGTGTTGGCGGTTGAGAAGCTCAACACGCCTTGGCAACATGCAATGGAGCCCAGAAAGCCACCCGCAAACTTGGCTGCATCCCCAGCAGCGTGGCCAGCAGGGCCGGGGGGGGATTCTGCCCCTCTGCTCCACTCTGGGGAGACCCCCCTGCAGGGCTGCCTCCAGCTCTGGGGCCACCAACAGCAGAAGGAAGGGGACCTGTTGTAGTGGGCCCAGAGGAGGCCACAAAGATGCTCCAAGGGCTGGAGCCCCTCTGCTGTGAGGACAGGCTGAGAGAGGCGGGGGGGTTCAGCCTGGAGAAGAGAAGGCTCCAGGGAGACCTTAGAGCCCCTTCCAGTCCCTCAAGGGGCTCCAGGAAAGCTGGGGAGGGACTCTGGATCAGGGAGGGGAGCCATAGGATGAGTGACACTGAGGGTTTGACACTAAAAGAGGGGAGATTGAGATGAGATTTGGGGAAGAACTTCTTTGCTGTGAGGGTGGTGAGAGCCTGGCCCAGGTTGCCCAGAGAAGCTGTGGCTGCCCCATCCCTGGAGGGGTTCAAGGCCAGGTTGGACAGTGCTTTGGCCAAGCCAGTCTAGTAGGAGGTGTTCCTGCCCATGGCAGGGGGTTGGAACTTGATGATCTTTACGGTTCCTTTCAACCCAAACCATTTTGTTTGGTCTCAGGTGTGACTGAAATGCTGGGGAGATGAAGAACCCTAGGAAGGGGCAAGATAGGGACTAGGTCACCCCACCGCTCATACCCACTGTGGGTTGAGTTGATGGAAACAACCTTGTGCTTGCTCGAGGGCAGAAGAGCCGAGATGGTGGCTTGGGGTGACCATGTAGGAACCCAAAAGCACTTCCCACAGTTTTGGGCCTGCAATGCCAAAGGGAGGAACAGCTGAAGCTTGAATCACACAGTGAAATTTCTGAAAAAGGGAAGAATTCACCCCAGAAAAATTCCACAGCTACTGGGAAATCCTTCCTGTGTCCCCTGTCCCTGTCTGCTCACCCTTTCCTGTAAGGACATGACACCTTGCAGAGGACCCCAGTTCAACTTCAAGAGAAATTACATTGACAGCACAATGGTCTCTTAATTCTTGACTCCGTTTTACGTTCAATAACTATTTGCACTTCAAAGGCCAAATTCTGATTCAGCTCAGAACTCCCCCTGACTCCAGTGGGACGTGGGATTTGGCCGTCGGTCAACGTGGAAACCAAAGAGACATTCAGAGTCACAAGGCAACTGGAGAAGCACTAAAAACCAAGAGGAGACAGTCCAGGGTTGGCCAAGCTGGAAATAAGGATGGTATCGCTTCTGCTGTCCTTTCTCCACTGATTTTTAAAATTATTATTATTATTTAATTAACTAAACGAGATACCTTTCAACAGACAAATGTCCACCCTGTCGGAGGAGCCTACGTAAACAAATCTAAGGCTTCAGCTGTCTCGGTGATTATCAGCCTACGTGCTCCGAAATCTGGGATTCCTGCAAGTTTTTACTGCATCGTTTGGTCCCGAGGAAAAGGGCTGGAAGGCACAAGGCTGGGGAAAATAACTCCAGACACGTGGACAGCTGTGGTCTACAACACAGTTGCTCCGTCCCGTCAGCCCTGCTCGTATCCCCCCCGAGCGAGATAAGTCCTCTGAGAGCCCCCACCATTTGTCTGGCATGTGGAGAGCTGGAGGACAACGCGGGGTTACATTCTCCTGGTGGCTGTGGGGAGATTTGGGTAGGAAATCCCTGAAAATACCAAGAAGTATGGAGCTACATCCTCCAATGGAGCCATCTCCAATGGCACTTGAGACATTTACCCCATGGTGCAGAGCATCCATCCGGCCAAACAGACTGAGATCCCATCTGTGGGTTCAGGAACTGGGTGCTCTGGACATCCTGGCTTTGTTTTTTGAAGAACCTTCCTGGACACCACTCTTGCCCTCAGTCCCAGACAACTCTCCCATGGGACAAACCC